AGACATCATCAATGATGAAGATTGGAGACAAAATTATTGATGATCAAAATTTGTTGGTAATTATTGGTGGTTACAAATAGTTAAGATTTGTATTCTATAAATATTAGCTTGCATAATGTAATAAGAGTTATAACTTGTAAAAACTTTTAGTATCTTAATAATCTCAATGATGCTCACGAATTAACGGGTTACTACAATATTATCAATTATCATTTTTATTCAAGTATTTTAATTAAATTTGTTCTCCATCTCTTTTTAAACTTAATATTTTCACTTCTTAATCTCAATTTCTTCTCAAAACTCTTACTATTTTATATTTTTGCAAATATCTCTCTTCCTACTTTTTCTTCTCAAATCTCGAACTCTTTAATTATTTTCATATTTTTTAAAGTCTTGATTGCATACGAATTTTGGTTCTAATTTTTTTCATTCCATCAAGTTGTTGTTAGTTTGAATAAAAAAAATTCAAATGATTTTGAAAGACTTTGATTTCTACTAAAAAAAAATTGATTCTGATCAAAATCAATTTCCATTGAAAATAGGTATCAATCAAATAACTTGGTGAATTGGGTGTCCCCTCTTTTTTGAATCCATAGACATGATTTATGTAATATTTCAAAACTAATAATTAAGAATTAATTTACACTTAAAAATGTAATTTTTGCTAGCCAAATATTATTTTAACATTGGAAGAATCGATTTGACTAAAGTGTCCAAATACTAAGTGGTAACATTTATGTTTTTATTAAAAATTATAAATAAAAAGTATTTTATTAAATAAGATGTATAAAATGTTTATAATTTTCAACTTCAAAAGAGTGTAAGTTGTTTACATTTTTATCTTATCCAATACAAAAACAATGAACAAACGTTCAATAGAGGAAGGAGAGCCTCATTGTCGAGAGTCGCTTGATGGGTGCCACTTGGGCTTCAATCCCACTCCCAAGCCCAATAGGCAATTCAAACCCTTGCAATTTCTTCAACTATCCCATACCTTAAATATGCACTTTTCTAATTTTCCATATTTAACTCTGGGACCAAACAGAAATTTAGACAAAACTATAAGTACTATGTTGCAATAATTAATTTCACCGTTGATTAATTTATTATTTGGTACTAACGGCTAAAACATTTTCATGCAGTGATACAAGTACTATTGACTAACTAGTTCATCTTGGAAATAGATCCCCTGACTTTGGAGGGAGAAAGTTAGGGTAACTTTACACATTTAAACCATTGGATTTGTAATAGTAGATCAGATTGTGACACGTGTACATTTAAGTTAAAATATATTTTGTACACGTGTTACAATCTGATCTATTATTACAAATCCAACGATTGAGATGTGTTAAGTTACCATAACTTTGATATCTCAAAGTCAGAGGATCCGGATCCGTTCACCTTATGGTGGTTGAGTTCAAACCTGAATATGTTATTATGTAAAGTTTTGCTTCTTTCTCAATTTTATAGTCAAATTTTTTCCCAAAATTAAAAGTTAATTTACTAATTAGACATTATCAATCTATTTAAAATTGTAAATTACATAAGTAATTTTTTTTTAATAAATACTATGGTTACAATAAAGTTTGGATTCATGTCGCATGATGATGATTATTTTAAAAATAAGTTAATTTAAATTTTTAAAAGAATTTTAAAAAAATTTGTTCTTTTATTAATAAAAAAATTAAAGAGATTAAACTATTTTTAAAAAGTGTCTTGAAACTTAATATATAAAGCGAAATCATTTATCAATGAGAGTTGGGTTTAGTAAAAGGACAAAATTTAGGGATAGTAAGATATAATGATCTTCGATTAAAATTAGAATTTCATCTCAATAATATGAATTTATGTTTAATGCAAGTCTCAATCATTTTCACATATTATTAGGATGAAACTCCAATTTTACATACCAATCATTACAAGAAAATTGTTATATAGTAACATATTTTGTGTCACTAAAAATTATTTTTATTCATATAATAAATATAATATATTAGAGTAAATATAGACTACAATGACGTATAAAATGTTATTAAATCACATTTAAAATCAACATTAAACTTGTGTGTAACTATATATCAAATATATATATATATATATATTGTATCTATAGTGACACTTTATATATGTAACTTTATGTAATATTTCTTATAATGAATTATTGTTTCAATTCATTTTAGGTCATTTTCCTTTAAACTTGGCTCAATCTTTTAAACCATACCATTTTTGACAAATCTACTTAAGTAACATACCAACTAACCCTTTCTAATTAATTAACAACATTAGATAATGATAAACATATACTAACATGTTTGATAATTTACAATTTTATGAAACATTTTATAAATTTTAAGGGCTAATTTGGCCTATCACTATAATTTGAGATTAAGTTGATGATTTAATCTAATTTAAATTAAAAATGTTCAATTTTAATAAGATTGCACATGTATCCTATGTATAAAAAGAAAAAAGAAAAAGCCACGTACCGATGTCCTATACCATAGTCCTTATAAAGACAAAGACTATTTCATCATATAAAAGATGAATTATATATTCTTCTCATGATACATATATAGTCATACGAAAAACGTTACATTTTTATATATTTATTATTGAACCTTATAATATGTTACTGTTACGCATAAGATTCACCTGGCTGTATACTACATTAATTCAAACAATGAAACCCCTTATGAATGTTAACTAAAGAACTCGCAAATCGTGAAACGCATTGGTTTATCTTGGAATATTTTATTGGACACTTGCGCATATCAGCGTTCACATTAATACACTATGGTCCAATTTGGAGGCCACACTAATACATTATACATGCACATTTTCTTCAATGTTCATTCACACACTTTATTTTTAAAGTGCTTTGCCATTATCAAACGTTTATTTAATTTGTCTTATATTACTTTCCTCTTACCGTACGTGTTTGACTCTGCTGTGCCGCCTCAGAACCAACATTATATTCAACATAAAATTAAAACCCTTTCGTTGCTGTTCTTATGGGAAATTAAAATGATTTGAATCATCTCATTTTTCTTATGACCAAGACAATATCATATTAAAATCATTTTACGTTAGAACGTGTTGCCACTATCTGAGCATGGATACGATAATTAATCTAATCCCGTTATTCTGCATGTGTCTGCTAATTATTTTAATGCAACATGTGTATGTTAAAGTGGACGTATTTTAAATATGAAAAAATGAGAATAGAAAGAAGCTTGCTATTTTATCTTACTAGATTTAATTAATTTTCTGTTGCACAAGAACAAAGAGTTTCACTATTCCTTTTAGAATAAGTATAAATATAATGTATAGACTATAATTTTATATATTTAATTAACAGTTTTTGAGTATTTTTATGCAATTTACGTGTATAATAAATTTCATGTTTACTAATTATATTTATATGTTCAATATATATAGTCCATTCTGTACTACATGTGTGAACATATTTTGACTTGACCACACATATATATTTTTTGAGTTTTATTAATTTAATTGGTCTTTATAATTTTATAAGCTTATTTTTTAGTTTCTATGCTTAAAAATTATATATAGTCCATTCTGTGTTATTTGTTTCTAGTTTTAATTTTCTGTTTAAAAAAGTTAATGTTGTTAATTATGAATAACATGTCACTTAAGTATATTTGTCGTGACATTAACATGCATTATATACTTTACATTTTAATCACTATATTTATATATACCATTTGTACATTTTGATTCATATATAAAACCTACTCATTTTAGTTTTATGCGAGCGATTTTTTTGTGCTTAAGTTCCTATGATCACTTTCCTCTTCTTCCTCGTATTTATTCTCTTCTCTCCTTTGTCTTTTTATTTTTTCTCTGCTTCAACTCCTTCTTCCTTCTTTCATTTCACATTTTTTTTTTGATAATCCTCTTACATGCACTAATTTCCATTAATATTAAATTGTAGAGTCTTTCTAGCTGCAGAGTTCAAGTATTTATTATGGTCAAGACAGGTAAATAATGTTGTCAATTGGGTCAGCTGCGACTATCTTATTAAATTGGGCCAATGTTTATAGAAGTGAGTTGGCCTGACTTGAATTTATTATGGGTCACTCTTTTGTTGCAAGATCAAATTGACCCATTTTTTTAATAATATTTTTATTTAAATTTTACAAAGAAAAATAAAAATAGGTTTCAGCCATGAAATTTATTAGTCTATTACTCCTTCCATTTTTTTTTCATAGTCGTTTAAGGTTTTGCACGGGATTTAAGGAAATCATTGATATTTTAGTTTTCAAAAATATTTATTACTTACTTTCTAATTTTACCCTTTATTTTTTTTTTGCATTTTTTAGACTGTTGAACTACTCCATTAAATAGTTGTCCCTTTTTTTTTGTTTTTTTTTATAATATTTTGTTGGGAACATATTGCTCTTATAAATGCACATTAACTTTATATGAGTAGTTGGAGAAAAATTAGGTAGACATTAAAAATAAATACATACATTGTTCAAGAAACATGTATTAATTATCAAGGGTAAAAATATAAGAAAAAAATTAATAACTCATTGATTTTAGTAATATGACAATGAAAAAAAAATAACAAACTCTGACAAAACGACTATGAAAAAAAAAGAGGGAGTATGATTATCCGATCGAACTCGACCAAATTGACTTAATTATTTTTAGATTACTTTGTTTGGTTCGTTCTATGGATCATGAAATCATCCCACCATGTTAAGACTAAGACATTTTTTAATAGCTCTACAAAAATAGTATGTTGCTTGCAGCTCATCTATAAATTATTTCACTTCTCATTTTTTATGTTCACCTTACACCTCACCTATTATGTATATTTATTTTTTCAGCATTCCATTTGTCACATCCATTCTTAAGGGCTAGTGATAACAAGAAATTTGCAGCAGCGGAAGCTTGAAATTATCCCTTTGCCGCAGATAATTTGTTTATAAATCACTCCAGAAAAAAAGAAGAAGAAGAAGAAACAGGAAGAATTATACAATTAAACTAATCTAATGGATATATAATTAGAAAAGAAGCCACACAGAGTAAATTTTCTAGTTAACTTCATTCACAGCTATCCAGTAGGACAATGAACAAATTCCACATCATGTCTCCTCCAAAAAACTTTGGAAACTTTTTTTTTTTTTTTTTTTTTAACTATTTTGTTTGATCAGTCATACAAACCGTCTTGCTCCCAAATATCAACAAGAAAGTCAATCATTTCCTGTCACAAAATATTATAATCAATTAATGATATAGTAAAATAAAGGGTGGGAGCATTGTGAACTAAGCTCCATCTTTTATTTGAGTGAGTGGTGTATTACTAGAATATTAATAGATGAAGAACAAAGTTTAGAATATCATACTCTCAAAGGGATGGGTTGGGGAAAGGGCTTGTTGTTCCCAAGTAGGTTGTCGTAGGTGGCATTGGAACTGTGGAACATAAGCCAAAGAATAAAATTTAGATACACTTCTTTAAATGCTTTTAGTATTGTTCTTTAGTCTAGTTTTACTTTAATAATCCACATAATAAAGATTTGTATTAAGGTCAACATAAGTTATTGAAGTAAAATTTTAAGAGTTAATCACCTATACACTGCCAGTATAAAGTTTTTTTACACTGGCAACCAATTATATCTTTTAATTGTGCCATGTCATTGTTAAAAGTAAATGTGTTTATAGTGATATAGCACAATTAAAAGATATAATTGGTTGTCAGTGTATAAAAACTTTACACTAGCAGGTGATTAACTCAAATTTTAATTCTGATTAAAGAATGTCATTAAAAGCAGTTAAGAAACTCGTACATCTAAATTTTATTGGAAAAAAAATATCATAAAGTGAATGCTATAGTCTGACCCAAATCCTAACTTTCATGCCTCTTGGCCTACCTTCTTCCATGTATCAAGAATGTTCAAGCATATGTTCATAAGTGCAGTTTTTTTGATAATGATCATTAAGACAAAGTTTCACATTGAAACTATTAAGAAAAAATAAATGAAGTTTTTCTCTTCAATTAAGATTTGTGCCATCTAGTGTAAAAGCTTGATCAATGTGAATTAAGGTAGCTAAAAAATGTGCTTGGAGAATCAAAGTGTTGTGAGCATAGATGGGTGCTTCTTCCAGGGAGGGGAAAACTTAGCATGAAAATAGCATAACAAGGGACAATGATATAATACTAGTTAGTGAAGAGAAGCGTATTATACATTGAAGTAATTAGCCACAGCAAGTTTCATTCCTCAACAGCTTAAATATGCATGAAAGGAAAAGTGAATACAAATTTCCTCTGTAAGATACTTGTATTACGACTCAACACTTGAGACTTCACCTCAGAATGCATATATTTATGTACCTTATTCTTGGTTCTTGAATTTCTGAGACATTATCAGACCTCTTATTTCCAACCCATTGTTGCCTTATCTGGTTCCAGAGAAGAAGCCCTGCATAGAACAAACTTTTTTGTCATTTCATTCCAAATGAAAATACAGAATTGTTCATACAGATCAACTAAAATCATGAAAAATTTTAAGTTCCAGAAAGAAACAGTAATTCCACATAACTAAAATAAAGATATAATAACAAGACAATCAGTTGCTGTGTATTAATTTACTTTTCATGCATGAACCCTCCACCAATGAGGAGAGAGAGACATTTTTTCCTCTCTTTCTCTCTCTTTTAAATAAGACCATGAAAGAAAAAAAAGAAGAATGTAAAGGGAATTTCTGAAACTGCATTTCAAAATGAGCACAAGATAGTATTCATGTTACTCCAAGGAAATTAATACTGTTCCTTGAGGTTCGAGGAGTTTGATTCAAACATTGCATGAAAATATTGAACCATTTGACACTTAGCAAAGCACATATAAGTCTTGAATAAGTATAACTCTATAACAATTAACCAAGATTTGAGGATCCAACAAATAATAAAACATATAAGAGCAAACTTGCCATGGTTGATAAATTCAGGAGGACCACTTTGACTGCCTCCACTGCTTTGAGGATCAGAAATGCTTCTCTCTGACTGAGCAGCACTATGGTCTAATTCAAAGGTGCTGCTGCTCCAAAAATCTTCTGATCCATCCACTTTAGTCACTGTTTGATCTTGAGTTCTTAGTCCTTTAGATGCTTCATCCATTGCAATAACTTCTGGAGTTTTTTTGCAGCATCCAACACAACCTATGTTCTGTTATAATTATAAAGCAGGTGGAATCAGAAGTATGATAAACACCTCCTATTAGTAATATTCTGTGAACCAGCTTGAATTAAAAGATGATGTTGATAGTAAAGAACAGGTACCAAAAATAACTCAAGTTAAACAACATAACCTATCATGAATGCATCACTCGGCTGGTAGCACTTATCATTTTATACCTAAACAATACATTAAAAGACAAATAAAACAGAGAGACACAATAGCCTACTCTCTTGGTATGTTCACCTGCTAATTATTTTTATATTGGTTTATATAAAAATAATTTCTAAGATCAGTAGCACATTACAGATATGAACTTCTTCATATAACTAACTTTTACGTTTTACTCTGTTCGCAGGTTTATAATTTATTTAGAATAAATAATATGTGCTATGACATTTTATAAGTTTTTGACATTGTCATCTCACCAAAAATCACCAGTATGATAAGTTTATTGACTTCTATAATAATTGCATTAAAAGTTATATTAATGATAGTTGCTATAGTGTAAAAACTTTGTCTACAAAAGAAAATTATGCAACACAAACACATGATTATTTGTAAAATAAAAATTTTCTGGAAAAATGATCTCAATTTAAAATACAGCCATGAAGTTAAAACCAGTACTCTAGTCTTGCTTTTTCCTATCAAATGAATTTTGAATTACCTGAATTTACATCTGAAGAAGAATAAATTGAAACAAACCTGTGCCTAGAACAGCTACAAGGCTCACTGTCTTAGACGCATACAAGCACTATAGTTAATGCAAATCTAGAATCAGGTTCTATCATGCTCTATGTAGCAACTGTTTAAACATGACATCATTGGAAACAAATGGGACAACAAATGATCCTATTCCTAAGCATGATGTCTTTAGGTTGGAACCCAGAAAAAAAAAAAAATCACTTTGACAGCAAGATAGAAGAAGCAAACAAAAGTGTGTCAAGCCTAAAGGGCACAATCAGGTCCACAATTAAAACCTCACCCTTGTTCAATAATGAAAAAGGAAAGAAAAGAAAAGATGTTTTTAACTAAAGTAACAACACTAATGTAACAATAAATATCTCGAAATTAAGATTAGCACAAAATAAGTCTCTCTTACACAGAAAAGCCCCTTGCATTTGAGCTTTAACTTATCCATGGAAGAAAGCACAAGAACACGAAACGAGGCACCACAAAACACTAAAAATGAGGGCCAGCAGTGTTTCTTCCCAAAGCATCTAACCAACGGTGCAAATAAGCAACCCCTAGGATACATCTCTTATGGAACCCCTTTAACAGAAGCAAATTGTATCTATCTTATACTAACTTCCAAAGAATCCAATGAGAGAATCACAAACAACAAAAAGCCCTATCAGGTTACCCTATTGACTATATCTTATTATGCTTGCTTAAAAACCAAGCAAGTACAAGCAAAGATTCCTAAACGTGATCAAAAAAGTATCACAAACCACACAGAAGAACCTCAATTAACATACCCAGAAAGATTAAAAGATGCAAAGCAATAAAACTTCCAATTTTTTTTCTTAGAAACTAACCACCCAAAAGCAGCTACATCACCTTAATCAAGAAAACTTGTGACTTTGGATCTTTCGTATTGACTCATTTTCACTCACTGCTGGAGAGAACCTCCAAAATCACTTGGCTGATGTTTTGCTAGCTAAGAGAGGAAAGTGAAACAAAATTATACAATTATGAATATTACATTGGAAAAGTTATTTCCTTGCGTATTAAGTAATAAGTGGGACAGTAAAAGTCAAATTGAAATGGAAAATTCAATACTTTTTATTTTCTCTCAGCTGCCAAACAAAGACAAACAACAAAGGAAGCAACGAACTCACCCCATGCACGCCAAAGACCAAAGGTGGAACGTACCTACAGAAATGCATTTGCATAAGTCAAAGAAGAAGAGGTTTGTCACAAAAAATTCTGAATTCTTGGAGGGGAGAATTCAATGCTGCATGCAGATTAATAATATTAAAAAATAAAAAAGTAGAGAACTTCTTAGACTTTAATAAAAGAAAGGAAAGGAGGGGGGGACATAAAGCTAGAAAATATTCGAGTTGTTTTGTTCTTGAAAATAATGAAAGAGTGGCATGTTTGGTTACGGAGAAATTGTAGGGTAACTTGAGAGATGACATTTTAGCCCTTTTCGTTGGAACTTGGATCCAACCAAATGATTATTCAAATTTTGGAGATACAAGGTTGATTAGGAATAGGGTGAAAATGGATAGAAATAGGTTGGTATTTAAAGTTTGGTCTGTGACTTATTTTTTTTTTTTTTTAGGTTCGTTCTTGGAGTATCCATCGCCGACAGCAGTGACTAATCTCCTCGCTACGTTGGAGGCACCTCAAAGGGTGAGATAGCTGGCCCCAAGATTTAAAAATTATTTATTTAAAAAGATTTGATTTAATCGTATAAAAAGTTTATTAGTATAATATAATAAAAATTAATATATATTATATTATTTTAAATATAATTAATAAATAAATTTATAATTAAAAAATTAAAATATCTATTTTTTTTTATTTTTTTTTACATTTTCTCTATAATTTTACATTTTTCATTCATACAAAATCAAGAAATAAAAATAGAAATTCTAGTAACTATATTTTCATTTGATATATATTTTTTCATCTTAATGGTTGGTTATTTAGAATATATTTTAAATGAGATATAAAAGATATATTTAGAATTTTTTTATAAGATTTCTCTCTTTCATTATACCTATTGTGTGAGTGCAATGAGTATGTATGAGTTATCCATTTTAAGTTAACGAGTATTTTAACCTAGATATTTCACAAGTCAAATATTTATTATATTCATTAATTTAAATCAATGAATAATCATAAAAAAAAATTATATGTTGATTTGAAGCTATATAATGGAGTATCAAATAATCTTTAAATTTTTTAAAAATTTGTAGACTAGATCTATATATTTAAAACTTTTAATTTAACAATTGGATTGTTGAAATTTGATACAGAATATGAATTATTGAATGAAGTAACCCCTAAACTAAGACTTACTCTTAAAATAAGTTGATCTCTCCTCTTAGTATAAATAAATATTTTTAAATATATAAATTATATTTTGAATATAAGATACATCAATATATATTATTTTAGTAATCTTTATATTTATAAAAAAGATATTATTTTTAATTAAAATAACTTATTTTAAAAATATTAAAATATAATTCATAAATAGATCATATGATAAATAAAAAATTGAATTAGATTTGTTGGCTTATTTAAAATTAAATTTATCAATTTATTAATATAAAATAAATTTTTAAATCGGCTAATAAATCATATCAAATTCTTGAAAAAGTCATATTAAATTTATTGAAAAAAAAACTTACCATAAATAATAAACCAAATTTATGTTTTAATTTTATAAAATAGATTTGGTTATTCTCTTATAGTGAAAATGAGTTGGATGAATTAGATTTTATAGTTTGATTCAAATTGACAGCTGGAGCTTAATTTGAATACAAGTTTAGTTTTAAGGTCTCATCTCAACTTTTTTAAAGTTTAATCCATTCTATAATTTATTTTGTAATAAACTTATTAAATTAGGTTTTAAGTATTACTAATTATAATATTTTACTAAATCAATAAATATATAACTTCAAAATATAATAGTAAATTTTTAATACAATAATTATAATACTTATATATATATATATATATATATATAT